AGATTAGTCATGGTTTAGTGAAGTGTGGTTATATACATTTTTCTGTATCAGAAATATATGCAATCTTAAAATGATTATGTGGTTAATCATAAAATTATCATTTATCTGAATGTTTTATTAAATTACATTTAATATCTGAGCAAATCTGAAATCTTTAATCTGAGAAAATTACATAGTAATTCAGCACATATTTTATTTTTATATAATATTTAAATAATAATAGCTAAGAAATAAATACATTAATGAGGATTTTATGCAATCTCTACTCTTTAAGAAATAGCTATTACATATCCARTTGCTCATTGAAATGAAATTTTCTGTGAGGTTATTTCACATCAAAATATAACCAAATTTCAGAATAATGATCTGAAGTGTGTTTTCTGATGGTGTATGAAGATTTTCAGTGGCAGGCCTAATACCTCCCTTTCTAGCTTTTAAATTGTGAAGAGGATAGCTCAGTTTACATAATATTGTTTCTAATTTGTTTCTTATGTGCATTTGCTGCAGTTTTAAGCTGATTCAAAGTAAAATTTTTTTTTTACAAGAGGCAATTAAGAGAAAATAAGAAAATAATATTATCTTGGCTTAGAGGACTACAGCTGTTAAAAATATAGCAACATGATGCTAAAATACTAAAGATTTAAACTTAAACTGAAAATAAGATAAAATCCAGAATTTCAAAGAAATTGAAATTCTTTGAATTGAATATCTTAAAGAATGATACTCTTTAATCTTATTTCATCTGAAAAGCACCCTTCTCTACCCAGGTTTATAAGCAATAGTTTTAACTTCAAGTATATGTTAAATAATATGATCCAAAGTAAATGTATATACTTTTATATACTTTTATTTTATTTTATAATTAGAATGGAAGTGATATTTTCTACTAAAGTGTACATGGTTGCTTAGTCCACACCTGGCTTGTCCTTCATGTATTATGTTGCATCCTTTATAGTATATAAATATCACAATAAATATCTGAAAATAAATTTATTTCCACTAAGCATGTGGGAGAGGCAAAAGGTGTATTAGGGTGAGAACACTGCTCAGAAAGCATCAACAGCTATTTTATGGCGTGTCTACTACTGTGAAGTGGAGCAGAGATTGCTTAAGTAATGGAGAACTGAGATAGCAGGTCTAATCGATAGTTGTAATCTTCCAGTAGTTAAGCTCAAAAGGCTATTAAATGAACATTAGGCATATCTGCATAGTCAGACTATTCCACGTAGTCAAGGTTTATGAGCTGGAATTGATGCTTTGGCCACTCAAAGCATCACAGAGCAGATACATCGCTGTTTACTCCTGATCAAGAGACATCCTTGTAGTGTAAGTCGCACACTAGTCCTGCTGAGCTTAATGTTACACTGGATGTTATGCTGGCACATAGTTCATGCTTCACGTCCATGCTGCGTTTTATTTTTAAAAATGTATTTTGATAGGGTGTTTTTTGTTTTTTTTGGTTTTTTTTGTTTTTTTTTTTTAAATAATTGTCCTCCAAATCACACTTGTAGTGCCTTTAATATCTGAAACAGGGTAGGAAACTGGTATATACAAACAGATTCGTTACAATACAAGACAGTTCCCTCAGACACAAGATATTAAATTGCTTTTTGATCAGCTGCTTCTAGAAATGTACTGTATAACTATGGTTCTTCCTCCAACCAGCTAATGATCCTGTCAGTCACGGACTAATTGCCAATACCACAACCTAAATTTTGCTTCAATCAAAAAACTAAAGCCACTTTCTGATCCTGTTACTCACATTCAGCTTTGAAAAGTATATAGCGGTTGTGTGTTAGTTCATCTTCTCTCTCTMGTAATTTGTTTGATTGCCTAATACTTGCAGTCAGAACTAACTGAATAAATATGTTCCATGTCCTGATGGGAAGTCAGTACTTTTTCTTAAATTATTTTAATGTAGACATTCTGCCTAGAAATTGGGGTAAATTCTGCTTGCCTTTATTACCTAAAGTACCTTCAATGGAAAAGGTAAAAGCAAGTTTTAACCCTTTGTAGAAAGTAATGAAGACAAATCATAGCACCTGTGTCCATTTAATGCAAGATTAATACGAGTCTGTATTGCTCTCAGATSTRAAGGATTTCATCATTTTATGAGCAAATAAGGTGCTAAGGTATGGGAAGGAGGTGCTGGTACTATATCCATTCCTCCTTTTTCTCCATCCCTCGTCAATTTAGCTTGTCTGTAGTCTAAAGACCTAGAACAGACCCCCATCTATTCATCATTTTTTCAGTTTCAAATTGTTTTTCATATAGCRTGTGCACACACTCACACCCACACATACTCTGCTGTACTAGGTAAGCCTTAAAAAAAAGGATGAAACACATACCCAATTATCTTTCAATTTTTCTACATCATTTTTCTGAACAAGAGTACAAGGCCCGTAGATGTAACCTGTTTTTACTAGGACATTTTTATCAATTCTGGATCTGTGTGATAATCAAGGTTTATTGTAAGTTCACTTTTGAAATCCTCTGAATCTGAATGAGAAATTTTCCTCTTCTGAGTTTCAATGAGAAACACTTGGAATGCCATATATTGGAATGCTTACATATTTGTGAAATCCGTTTAGATGACTTTCGAAGATTAAAAATTTCAACCACAGATTCAGAAATAAGACATGTTTTTAGTTTAAGGAGATATTAATTTTTAGTATAAGAAACATTCTCTGCTAAAGAGAGGTTATACTTAGAAAAGATTAGTGATAGAAATATTTATAAACAAAATCTAAATTTGTATTCTAGAATCTTTGTCCAAATTCTACCTAAAGGTTTGGACCATTCAGTGATTCCTCAACAGATCTCCACCTTTTTGTACATCAAATTATTTGTTTAGACTACGAAGCCTTGGAATTAAGTCTTTTTATTACCTAATTAACAATGTTCAGTTCACAACAGCCAGCTTAGGCTATGGAAGCCTTTTTTTCTCCCTGCTTTATACAAGAAAGTTTTCTTCAAACAGTGCATCTAAAACAGACCATCTGAAGTAGAACTGGAGTCTACTTTAGATGGTCTGTTTTAGATGCACTGTTTGGTCATCTCTCTCTCTTTCTTCATTGACTAAAGAAAACAAAAAGAGTTTAGCCTACCAATGGATACCTTCCTTACAGCCTGGCGTGCTTTCTGAGGCATAAGCATAGCTGATGTGAGACAGCAATAAATTAATTCATTCTGCCAGGACCAAAACCCCAGATCGTCACTGGGCAATTAGGTTTTGCATTTACTGTCATAATATCTCGGTACTGAAGCCTATAATTATTCCTCTTGTTCCTTAAGAAGACTTGCTCCTCATTATTTGCTACCTTTCTTTGAATGTTTACAGGGGTCTTCAGTCATCCTTGTCTGATAATTCTACTGGCTCATTATTCTTCTTCTGAATGTGCTCTTATAGTTTTCTGTATTATATTTGCTTGAGTTAGGCTAGACAACTTTTGCCTGTGTTTTTCTTCTCCTTCCTTCACTTGTATGTTTTTGTTTCCTCTCCATGACTTACGTCTTGTAAGTCTTACTTCTTACTTACGTCTTGTCCTAAATTCCAGGCAAAGCCAGGCCTGTTCAGAGGGCCTCAGCCTCCCAAAAATCACAAATTCAGATCTTCAGCATTTGGTCAGTCACAGATTGTAAAATTTTTCATAGTTTCTTTTAATTTTTATGTAACAAAACACATCACTCATTTATTCATGGAGTACTTTTTTTTCATTTCTCTTCTTAATTTAATGCAATATTTTTACTATTAATTTAATGTCCTATCCTAGAGTCAATTGAATCAATTGACAGTATTAAAAATACTGAATGTTTCACAGGTGTTTGTTCTGAGAAATAAGTCTATGTTTTTTTCCTTCTTTCGACAGCTACTGGTAGAAGACACAGAATGAAGCCAAAGGTTTTCCTATGTAGTTCCAGAAAAATTCAGTTCTGATAAGGAATCCAAATTCTCTGCTCCGCCCCTTAAACTATATTGCTGGGTCATTTTATTTCTGTTGTCATGCTCTATTCCTTATTTCTTTTAATTCAAGGAGTTTGGCACAGATCTTTTACATTCAGTGTTAAATTCTAATACAGGAGAATTGATCACAGGTGTATCAATTACATCTAATTACATACAACTGGCCTATATCGGCCACTTGAGAGCCCAGATTTTATTAGGCAATAAGGTTTCTACCATCTTTTTTTTTTTTTTAATTGCATGCTCAATTTACAAAATATTTCAAAAAAACAAGAAATGAAAAAGTTAGAGCTTTAGAATAAAGTAAAGAAATAAAGTTCTATAGAGTAAGTAGAAAAGGAAAAGGTCAGTAGACAAAGAACATAATAGCAGATGTTTTAGGAGACATCATAAGGCATAGCCTCTATTACTGTAAAAGAAATAAGGCAGCTGCAGAATCATGCGTTGGCTTATTGTGTTCTAATTATTAGGAGCACATGTGAATGCTTTTTGATCATAAATTACTTGCAATAGGAAACACTCTTTTGTTGAGAATTTGAACAGCACCTAGCACAATAGGAAGTGATGCAAGATTAGCACTGTTCTGCCATAAGGAGTTATAAACAATAATGAACAAAAAGAAAAAAAAAATCAAACTGATTCATGATGTAATGTTAGCTCAGTATTTGGAGAAGAAAAAGGAAAAATGTCATTTATTTTGTCAGCATCTATTGGAAGAGCAACACTGAAGGAGAGTATTGTGTCACTTTCTTGTAATGCTAATACCTTTCCTACCCAAAGKATATTTAACTAGATCCTGCAGTAATCACAGTTCTGAAACTGTGCAAAGCCACCACTCGAACTCAGTAATGTCCTTAGCCACCCTGCTTTTAGGTGTTTCTTAACAACCCTGGCTTTTTCCAGATACTGTCTGCTAATAATGTGTGTCATGATGCACCACTTTTACTTTTGTATGATATGAAGTCATGCTGTGAGCAGAACCTGTTTTAATCATGTTCTCCTCTATTTTTTCTTATTTCTSTTTTATTTCTTATAGGTTGACCTGCTTGTCCCTATGAAAGTCACTGGCATAATTACTCAAGGAGCTAAAGATTTTGGTCATGTCCAGTTTGTGGGTTCCTACAAGCTTGCCTACAGTAATGATGGGGAGCACTGGACCATATACCAGGATGAAAAACAGAAGAAGGATAAGGTAAAGTAATTAGAAAATTGATATCTACATTGTGTTTACAGGGGATTAAGTCTCTAATAACTCYAGTGCTGGAAGCCGATAGGTTTTTGTCTGTTCTCCACTTCATGCAGTTCCATATGCCTGGAGCTGCACAGATAAAAAGTCAGGGTGAATAAAAAAGAATCATATAACAGAATGACATTCACAGTGCTGTAAGAGAATAGATATCAGTGCAATATGCCTGATTTAAGGCTATTAAATATGAGACCTAAAACTTCACAGTGCTCCATTTAATTGAATTATTCCTTCCTTTAATTGGAGAATGTATATAAAGAGTAGTTTATTTGTGTCTTGGAGAACAATGTCTCAGTGCATTTTTTGATAATGATATACTATTTTCTGTAAAGCAYATCTTGAGTATTCATGACTATCTAATAATTTGGTGGATTTTTGTTTCCTGGAAATTATTCATTTTAAGATTTTAAATAATGTGTGCAAAGATCCTGTCTTATTACACTATTAAATTAATCCCAAGCACAACATTTTCACAACTTCCTTTGCAAATGTTTAATGGCCAGGAATAAAGAAAATATAAGGTTATTTATAGATTTACCTAGAAATATTTTTTCTCATATTATTTAGGGTACTATTTGTACTATTTATTATGCATCTCCTTTAAACTGTATAACATTTTTAAATTGCAAATAGATGAAAAATCAAAGAAAGAAATTACAGTATATGGATTTCTTAAGGGAAATATTAAGAAATCTGACATTTTTAATKATTTATTAAACATTTTAGATGAATTATGCCTAATTGGAACAAGATACATTAATGAAAATGCCAGATGGCTGATAAGACTGATAATAGATGTCTCAAATCTGGTATTTCCACCATTTATATTCAGAGTAATAAATGTTTCCACTTGTACTTATTTCTTCTTATAATGAACTTTTTTTCCATATAAATGAGCACCTTTTGTTTATGCCAACTTATTCTATATTTTTGGAAGCAGTGCGATTTGGAGATATATATATATATATATATATGTTTGTGTATTGTATTAATACAGGTAGATTTATTGATGAGGGATTAGACAGCAGCATTCCTTAAATTTCACTGCTTTTTAGTTGATTGGTTAAACATACACTCAATGTTAGTGAAAGGTATCCTACATTACTGGATTAATATCAACATACCTGTATGTGTGCMTGCATAAAAATGCCGTAAGATAAATTATTTTTTCAAAAAACAATGTTAGTAAGCTCCATTGTCAAGAGCAAGATGGTAGTTCAATGTGATTTTATCCTGCAACAAATAGCTGAAAGATTTTGACATAGGGAAAACACAATCAGTTGCTTTAGCCATCCATCTGAGGAGGTCCTGACGCCTGTGGTTTTGGATGTCTAGCGTAATTGATTGTCAGATAAAAATTGGAAACAAACAACTCACCTTTCATAGGCATACTGTAAATATGTTCARTATCAGTGAGAGATAGTCCCCTCAGTACTTTGCACGCATCCCCTTCCAAATCCCTGGCATTTAAAAACAAAAGCAAAATGTTACTGTGGAAGAAATGCCTTCTTCAAGCCATACGTCTACTAGTGAAGTGTTGCATTCATTATACGGAGAAAGACAACATGCAATCAAGTCTCCAGTGAAAAACACAGTCACAGGCACATCTTCAAGAAAAAATGTAATCTCACTTAACAACATTGTGCTAGTCTGTTCTTGTTTATAACATTTGCCAAGGCAATTAAATTCTTTTTACTTTCATCATCGGATGGTTTTTTAATTGCTGTGTGCATAATCCATTAGGGACAATGGAAAACTCTTAATCATTGTCTTATTAAAACATCTCACTTCCCATATTAATTAACATCGCTAAGAATAAAATAGATACATCTTATTATGATGCCCTAACAAATCAGGAACAATTAAAAGCAGAATGTGATCAAATGAGTTTAGCTCAAGATTAGAAGTTCTAATTTCTGAGTTGGGCCAAAATGCGAGAATATTTTCAAAGGAACTGTGTTTTCACAGCAAAGTGAAACTCTAAGAAAATGTTTCTTCTGTTCCCTTGGGATAAAGAAAGCAGATTTAGGGTAGATGTTGGCAAGTACACCACGTTGGCAAGTACACCACATATAAATTATTCATAATTTACTCTTTTTCATTCTCTTTATTAGCTAAAGATCTTGATTTCTTCTGAGAAGGATAGAATATATAGATTTCTCCCTTTGCAAGCTATTTATTCACTCTGTGTTCATCTTGTGAGTCTTCCCAGTGATCATGACTTTAAAACACATTAAAATAGGAACTTATTGTTTAGTTTTGGGTGATATTGAACATCTTACCTGTTCAGTAATTTACAGAATGAGTGCTAATAGACTTCAGTGAATTCCTGAAACTGGCTCATATGTGGCTCTTCATCATTTTTCAGGCTACTTTTCACAGAAAAAAAATGTTAATGTCTCATGTTCACAAGTGCACTATTTGCCACTTTCTTTGATTAATCTGAAAAAAAATCAGCTGTTTCAAATAAAAGGAAATACAGTTTTCTAGCTTCATTTTTCTTCATTGTACACTTTCAAATGGAAAAATGTACAAGAACAATAGCTTCTGCAGCTTCTGTTTAGCTTCTGCTGTTTAATTTGCCATTCATTTGAGTTCATAACTGTGCTGAAATACTTTGAATGAAAAGAAAAGGGTTCACTGGAAAAAAAAAAAAGCATGTCTTTAAAAAATGCCTTTCTCATTGTTGTAGATAGTTTGTGAGTTCCTTAAAAAATATTAATGTTTTTCCCATTCTCCTGGGAGAGGAAAAAAAAAAACCAACAAAGCAAACTGACAAAAATTTAGCTGGAAAGAAGAAGATATATTCAGAGTTTTTTAGAAAAAAAGACCAGCGCTAATAGCTATCTCGTTATTCTCAACTAGAGGTCAGTAGCTCACCAGACCTTCGATGTTAAGGATATCTAAAACAAATTTCATCGGGTATTTTTTTAAATCACATTCTGAATGTGATTCATAAATTGCACTGCCTGCTATAGATAACCCAAGGCCAGCTTCAGTGTCAAATGACATTTTAGAGCCTTTTTTTTAAAATAAGATGAGGATGTTTGAAAGTAGTCTAAACTGAATCTAGAAGTCTGCAGCATTATCTGTCCTAATGAGCAAGGTACAATTGAGCGATCAAAGGTAGACAGGGATTGTCCACAGGTATGCAAATGGTCACCAGAATTCTGGAAAAAAATGGAAGAACAACTGGTGATATAAATTATGTCATCTGAATATCTAGTTAATTGGATGGCAACTGCAGGCGGGAGCCTGCATGCATGTGAAAAGATAGTTCTGTCACCCTGTGATTAAAGCAAGGCAGTATGCTCATATTAACAATAATGTGCTCATATTAACAATATCCATGTTTGATTTCTGTTAACATATTTGGAAGGAAGTCTTTGGAATAATTCTCTTTTAGCCTCACTTTGACCTTCTGTCATAAACCTTTTTTATCTTACATAAAGAGTAGGAGTAAATTCCGATTTAAGTGGCACCAGAAATTTCAGGTGAAAAATAGCAAAAATATGATAGGTTTATGGGTTCAAAACTATTATCTGTCCTGTGTCTATTGCGAGCTAGAGAAGATCATCAAAATCATGTAATCTCTTATGTATCACCAAGAGGAAAAAACAATCCCTTACCTGACAGTGGGCAATTTTGGGCTAGTTACCCGATCTCTGCCAAACAGCTTCTCACTATTCATTCCACTCCCTGACAAAGTAGCAGGTGAAGAAGGAGAAAGGAGAATAGTTAATACCAGGAGTGTAAGATCCTGACCAGTCTAAATAGATTTTATATATACACCATCTGAAAAGGAAGAATGTCTTTTTTTTCCTAAGTCACTATATAAAAAGTGTGCATGCATGCACACGCATGTTAACACAATCATGCATATCTATATACATATATCTGTATCTAAAAAATTGCATGCTCAGACTTACCTAGTGGGAAGCATCTTCTATGGGAAATATACATATATATATATTCATATATATATATATATATATAAGGTACCTCTAGATAACACCACAAGAAACTCAAGACCTGTTTTACTATTTTTGACCTTTTGTTATTCACTGGTAGCTCTTTGTGATGGAAAGAGCGACCCTGACAAGAACAGAAGACTCTTTAATGTAACTTGATTTTAGAACTGAAAGGAGTTGATGCCATTTTAATACTATGCCCTTAACTGCCATAAAGTTGAGATATTCTACACTGAAGCTAATTCCAACCAGAAGCCAGGTTCAGCTATCCTTTTTAAATAAAATGCCTCGAATTGGTGCAGGATCAACTTTTCCAGTAATAAGAACTATTTAAAACGTTCTSCTTGTAATAAAAGTTGTGCTAAGGCACAGCAGACTTAGTGACTTCACCTGTTTGAGGCTTGAATATAAAAGTCTCTGCTGTCTTCCATTAATATCCTGAATAGCACAAACCAATTCTATGACCAGTGCAGACTTTTCACCTAATTTAAGTTTCTACAAGTCATGATACCAAGCAAGATTCTTTATAAATTGTTTGAATTTCTATCATCCTTGCACCTCCCTTGTCACAGCTCCACAAATGATCTTGCCCACTGCAGCCACCTGTTTATCTAGCTCCATGGAAATTCCCCAAAATCTAGTTTCGAGCTTTGCATTTGGAGCAAATTAAACACCAATACATTTTGGTTTTCCCAAGCTATTTTTCTCAAGATATTTATTCTAAATTGTTCTGTCATAAGGTATATAATAATTCTGTTTTTGAAATATAAATCAATTAACATTGTCATTATTCAGATCTGTTTTTATGCCTTAGAATACTTAGTTACATTTTAAAATGTTAGTGGGCTTGAAGGCAAGATAATAAAATTTTTTGTTTGGCACAATTTTAAACAAGATTTGTTTATATTTCAGAAATCTGTATGCAGCGTATCATTACAGATTTTTTCTCTCATTTGCATGAACTAAAACTAAAATACATTTTCATATTAAAAGTGCAATAATACACATTTTCTACTTTTTTATTTTAAGAACAGCTGTAAGACTAAGCTACACAGAAGCTATACATATATATGGGGGTTGTATATGTGTAAAATTGCTACATCTTGTAGGCATGCAGACTGACATCAGTAGATAAAACCAGTCCCTTTTTTTTTTTTTTTTTTTTTTTTTAGTGTTCTAGAATAAGATTGCCAGAGGAAGAGCTTAAATGGACTTTCACAAACAGAAATAGATGTAATATGCAAGCTGCTAGGCTGTGGCTCTGCATATACTAGTGTCCTCCCTCCAAGGCAGGAAGCACAGTAGATGCCTAGAGAAGAGAAAGCAATACAGCTGTAATTTATCCGTAGTGTACCCTGCCAGCCTCTGGCTGTCTTCTAGCTGTACATTTAAGAGTCCTTGAATGATTTTGCCTTGAGTGATTTGCCTGAACTTCAACAGTTCTCAAATATTGTGAGAAAGAATGCCTTAGTTTAAATTTGTGTTGTTATGGAAAACAATGATCTTTACGAGGCCTAAACCACAAACTCTCATTCTTTCTCTTGCATGTTTTCATTGGAGGGCAGTGTAATATTTTCTCCTCTTTTTTTTCATGCCATTAATGCTTTTATAGACATCTATTGTGTCTTGTTTCAGGAGGCTGTCTATTCATCTTCAGRTAGACATTTTTTCATGTTTTTGCCCATTTCATTCTGTATTTCCTATCTAGTTAGAGCTATAGAAAGACTGTAGCTGGACCCAACCTGAAATATATGAATATGCTTTGACTTTATGCACTGAGATGTTCATATTTTATTCTTGTTTGTGCTTAGCACTGTATTCTCTGTTTCTTGATTTATTTTTTTTTTTTTTGTCATTGGGCATTTTTCTGTCAAATTTCTTATACTTTGCATTATTATTTTAAGATCAGTTTAATCTTAAGATGTGTTTATTGAATGCTAGTATATAGTAGCTAAAATTTTCTGAGATGTTTTACACTAAAAAGTGATACACAGAAACCAGTGTGAGTGGCGATCATTTATGAAAATAACCTACCAGCTCTTCAGAAGCTTCTAATTGCTCAGTTGGTTCATATAATATTGATCATTTGGCCACAAAGCAAAAGTTAATTAAAACAAACACCACTTTTGACTACTAAACCAGTGGTTTTTTATTATTAAAAAAAAGTTTTTATTCTTCCTCATTTATAGCTTTCCTAGTTTCCTGTTGCCATTAATGAAGCTAGGCTGAGGTAAAAATGAAGATGACAGAGAGCATATTTTTCCTGTAATAAATTTGCTGTGAGTTCACGGCAAAGACAGTAGAATCTAACAGTAAATTTGCCTTAGAATATTTCATGCTGGCCAATCTAACAGTAAATTTGCCTTAGAATATTTCATGCTGGCCTTATTTGTGGGTGCTAATAAAGCTTCTACCACTTTCTTGCATTTTTTTTTCTCCTCAAAATCCTTCTTCTGGTCTTGAACATTGACTTAATCCTTTGAAACTTGATCTTGAATTTTGAGGGGAGATTTCAACATGAATTTCAGATTTATGTAAGTTAACTTGCCCTCTCAAAAACAGGTAAGTATGATTACAGGTACTAAGGAAATCACATGTCAATTAGATTTGCACATGTGATTTGTTTTTCTGTTCCAAGTAAATGACATAATTTCCTACCTTGTTAACTGTATTTCTTGCTCGGTTTGCACTACCTGCTTTTATCTATTTTGAATAGCTATATTTGAAGATGAATACGGGAGCTGTAGCTTCCTGTGGTAAACAAGCAAGTTTTTTACTCTAAGCCTTAGTTTAAATGTTGTCTATGAATTACGTCTTCCAAAGGGAAAATAAAATAGAGAGTAAAAGGATTTTCYGTTAGCTCTGCAGCAAGAATTGTAGTTCTGCAGTGCTTATCATCTGTCTTGGTAAAAATATTTTGAAGTATCAATGGATATATTGCATGCATGGGTGAGAAATCAAATGGGAAAAACTCTTCAGTTTTTAGTCTTTCTGGGATCCATATTATATACTTTGAGAGGCTGCCACCCTGTAATTTTAAAATAATGAACTTGCTGCTTTCTATTCTATGTCATATTGCTACAAATGAAACTCAAATTCAGAAGCAATTTTGTTAGGCCAAGCTCCAGCTGACTAATGTAATCAATACTGTATTCAAAGAGCAAATTTTTTTCTCAGGTAAATTCTTTTTTAATGTTTTTCTCCAGGCTCATAGCACAGCTCTTTCTATGCTCAGTGTTCTGTAATTTTATCTATTTATCTTWACTGGTAGGTGCTTTAATTCTGCCATCTCTGCAGTAGTGAGGTGCCATACTAGAGGAGAAATTAATCACTTTTGAAAGAACATCACTTCTGGAGGATATTCATATTTTGTTTTAGATGCCAAATTGGTAGCACCTGAGAGAAGCTTCCAAAATTCAAGGAAAATATACAGCATAGAGACCAAAAAGTGAAGATTTTCATACAGTGTGTTATAAACATGTCAAGAAAGAACAATCTTAAGGGCTAAAATAGTGGTTTAGTCTCTTTTGAATCCAACCTCTGACATTTTTCCTCAAAACTTCCAACAAACTTGTCATTCTGCACTAATTCAGTCACAGAAGCACTTGTTCCAAGGAGGTTCATATTTTTTTCTTGTTCATATAATCTTAAGCCATCCTTTCATTTCAAATAGACGGGTGAAGAGCTAGCAAATACAGATCTTATAAATGAAAAGTGGATGGCTGACATTTCAAGGGAATAAACGTTTCCCATCATATAATCTAAAAATATCTTGAGAGAATACTCTGCTTGTCTTGCCAAAAAGGAGTGTTGTGGCCTTTGAATTTAAATAGTGGCAAYTGGGGAAAAATCTGGCATTTTCTTTACACAAACTGAAGTCAGAGAACTCATATATTGGTGTTTTCCTACAAATGGAAATAAATCTTAGCATGCCCTACACCATATTATGTATGTAGGTATAATGCAGTCACAGATGTTCCTGCTAACTGATGCTCTTATATCATATGCTGACTTTTGTTTGACAGAAGATAGTATCTTTGAGAATCACAAACTCTACAATAAGATACAGTGTTGCATGCAAACTGTGTTCATAACTAATAAAATCTCGTACTTTATTAGTGCTCTTCTGTGTTGAAGAAATCTCCCATGATTAACATGACATAATACAAATGTCAAGTAAAAAGACATTTAATTTCTTAAATGTTAATGATTTTGATATAACTTTCGCAATGAGGCCATGGATGCTCACAAAACTGCTGATCAATCTCAGCACTTTGAATTAAACGCTACATCTGCAGTGGGGCTGAGCACATTTGGCTAATCACCAGCTCTGAGGTCCCTGGCAAAGTATGAAATCCATGGGCTGCAATTAAGCATTCAGGTGCCCTTTGCAACATCAGTTTTGTACCCAGGTTATGAGCAGAAATGTGCAAGGGTGATCAGGGAACTGCCCAGAGACACCACGACTGTGTTCAGCACTGCAAATAACATTTCCATAGTCAAGTATATCTTTCCAGCACTGCAGAACTGARCATCACAACCATATCCCACACTTGGAAAATGTTTCAATCTCTAGTTTGTAGTGAAGATCACAGTCACACAGTAGTTCCTGCTTAGCAAGGTGACATTATTTCACTAGGGCATTTTTCTGTTTTAGGTATCCAGTCTTACAGTAGAATATATTTTCCTATCTCTTTGAAAAATATTGTATTTATAGTTTCATGAAAGAAGAATGCAGTTCTGCTTCTGGGTTATGTCTGATCCAGTACTCATCAGATGTACCSCAACCAGGAAGAATTGTTTGCTATGAAAACTATGTACAGAGGAGGAGTCTTTGTGGAATCTGGCAGGGGTCTGGTTTTATATGGGGAGAGAGGAGAAGAAATACTTTCTTTGAGTTTCCTGTACTCGTTGTGTCATTGCTCAGCATTTACAAATGGCAATATAGATAGTAATCTTTCTCTTCCCTACCTTTCAGGTCTTCCAGGGAAATTTTGACAATGACACACACCGAAAGAATGTCATCGACCCTCCAATCTATGCTCGGCACATAAGGATCCTACCATGGTCATGGTATGGCAGGATCACCTTACGGTCAGAGCTGTTGGGCTGCACAGAGGAGGACTGACACAGATTCTTGTTAGGCATCACAACTCTCTATATCCCCAAAAGTCTCTCCATAGAAGAAACTGTGCAAAACCTATAGGAAGCTGAAAGGGTTTTTCATGAACAAGTGCTAACTTTATGGTAGGCCGCTAACTGTCTTTCACAACGAGGTCTAAGCCTGCCCTTTAAATGATCCAATCTGATTTTGTCTTTTAACTCTGTTACAATGTTGTCCCCTTTGCTGTGGAATTATATTTCTAGTTTCCTTTTAAGTTGTTCACACTGGTTGAAATGTGTTAGGGAAAAACAGCAGCATCCTTTTTACAAGGAAAGAGAAATAGCATGACAAAGCTAATTTACAGCTTTAGAAACACTGGGCTGACAAGTTCTCCATAAATCATACTGTCATCTTACTTGCAAAAAGTGATACTGCAGCTTTTAGCAATAAGTTTTCTCTGGGATGACTGCATTATAAAAATTGTTTCCCTTGTGCCTATCAGACACTGTCAGAATGACATATATTTAGAAAGATACTCCGTGGTACTATAAAAATACCATACCTGTGATATTGCAAGCTACCTTTCATTACATTTGTCTAAACTACAGAGTCCATGCAACTGAGGGTTTCTTAAGTAACCTCATTTTTCTCCCCTATTTTGCATGCTGTGGACATAATCTCCATCTTTTCCATTTAGTATCACTCTTATTTTCCTTTTAAAGAGGTAGTCTGTCTGCAGATGGAACAAAATCTGCTATCAGTGTATTATGAAGTTAATACATTTGTCAAAGTTTTTAAATTCTGCTTGAGATTTACTTTTTTTTTTTCCCCCGGGGAGGCTGAGATTAGACTCCAGGGTACTTGTGGTATCTCGTCCTAAGTACTCATGTGGAGACAGGCRCTTGATGTAGCATGAATCTTGAGCCCATTTTGTGCATTGCCCACGAGTGTGCACACAACCCTAGATGGAGCTGCCTGCCTGGTTACTTCAGTCAGAAGCCTCCTTCATTCCTGTGAGGAGGAAACTGTGGGATGAAGCACTTAGGTGCTAAAAGATATCTGTAAGGAGCATCAACCTTACTCCCACGAGGCACCTCGTTAGGCTCTTTTCGTGACGCCTGTCACAGAGATCCTCCCAAACAGGAGTGCGACAGAGGCTGTAGGAATTAGTAAAAGCTAGGCTCTTGGAATGCACTCCTGGCCACGTCTTTTTGGAGCCACATAGAGGCTGATTGTTGTCATGTCTTRGCTACAGAAACATTTTGTGTGTACTACATTGTTTTAACAACATGTTTTAGGGTATCAAAAGTAGATTTAAGAGAAAAAAATGCAGACCAGTTTGGAGAACATGAATATGCCAGGGCTATAGTAAGTACAGAGCATTCAACAGGCGGCCCAGGCCCCACACAACAGTGAGTGGGAGCAATAGGCAGCAGATCCCTCGCTGCAGCAGCTGCCGGGCTCCCCAGCAGCGTGGCAGGTAACTCACTCACAAGCTTCTTCATCAAGGCAGCTTCTGGGACTGTGCAGATTAGCAGGTCTCAGCTGGCGTACAGGAGTCAAGAGAGTGCATTTTAGGCACAGTTCTGGGGTTTATTTGTCATGCAGTCTTGGGCAAGTCACTTCTCTGTGTCTTGATKTCACTGTGACAGGGAGATAGTGATACCTGACTCGTAAAGCACCTGAAGTTCCTGGAAGTGCTGTGTGAAGGCCAGATTTTGCTATCGTAGCACCTGAATCTTAAAAATTACTGGAGCCAAAGGTTTAGGGACTGATTTATCTGAGTAAATGGCATGAAATATTCTTATTGTCATTATTTTAATTTCATAACATGCTGATGTAGATATAGAGGGCTGCATAGTTTAGCAAACGTTGCTGAATTTATTTGTTGTCACCACTATGTTCTCACTGAAACCAAAGTTCTGAAGTATGAACCTGAGCCCTGCTTCCCAGATAAACAGCTAGCTGGCCCACRGTATGCAAAGGGCAAAGTTTACTTTGGAAAAAAAAAAGTTTGGATTTCAAAACCTGCATTTAATCTCACATTCTCCACCACAGACAAAACATAGTCCATGTTACTGTGAAAGATTCCAGAGTAACAGCCAGGAATTTTCCAAACAAGAATATGAGATTGATTTGCAGAGGTTTTCTGATAGTGTCACTTAAATTGCTGTATTTTAAAACAAAAAGCATTCTGATTCTATAAAATGACTTAGTCCTTAAACTCTATTTATACAAGTACTTATTTTATAAGGCTTAGACATTTAAAGGCGTAAGACTTTTAAGGAAGAGTCTTATAATGGTAGAAGGTAAAAGTATGTGTGAGAAAAGTTGAGGTCCTGTGCAACACTGCTCAGTTTGTTTTTCTTTATTTTTTACTTTGTACTGCATAACAAAAGCCACTAGACTGTTACTGTCTTGTCTGTAAACTGTGTTAACAGCATTCCTTAATGATGTATATATGAAGTGGTCTTCAAGCGTAGTGAGCAATTTTAAAGAGAAAGTCAATCATGATGGTATTTTTGAAGAGCAAAAAAATTCTAAATAATGGAGGACAGGTGTATTCTTAAATTGCTTTCTGCCTGTATGTCACACTTCAGACTCTCCTCCCTCCAAAAAAAAAAAAAAAACCAAATCTGAAATATTAACCTTTTTTGGGAGGGCACATAATTAGAGAGTCCAAGACCATTTTCCTGTTTTGGGATCACAATTGGCCATGCATTTGAATAATGACACATAAACAATCTACTTGACTACGCCAAAAATGTAAGGCCATCCCTAGTTCAGCAGTTTGTTTTAAAGGTGTTGTCTGATATTTGTTATGTATTCTTCAGTGATATATTTTCATGTTTATTCATCCTTTGCAACTCCAGAATGATTTTGATTAATGCTTTGGTTTAGTAAGATAGCTGTTCATCTGCGTATTAATTAGTGTTGTCTTGCTACCTAATGCAGTCATTCTGTTTTGTAATACAATTTATAGTTGAATATTTTCTTTTTTTTTTAGTTTTGTTCTTAGTTGTGTTTCATTTGTCAGCATCCTTGAGAATCTGAAAATAAGGTTCTGGACATTGTGATAGCAATGTAATGACTGCTAAAAGAATCATATATATGTTACCGTTATTTTTTCAACTGATATACTGGGGCTTTTTTAATGATATAATACAGTTAACAAAAAGCTTTCTTTAGATGGCATTGTGCAGCGGTACTGAATTCTGTTCCTAATATCTGAAATAACTCTCGATTTCGATGGGATTATTTCAGATTTAATAAAACAGATGAGATGCACATGTTGCCCATGGTTAAGATTATTTCCTTTAATTTTATTTTTTCATTGCCTGAAAATCTTTGGGACAAATTCTAAATTTACACTACTGTATTCTCCTGATGAATGCAACTGGCATTCCTAACATAGAAAGAGTATTGGAGTTCTACCTTTAATAGCGGATGGAAAAACAGTCTGAAATAATCCTCAAATTATGTGTTAATTGTTGCAGTGACATTGAACAAGAGTGAAAATGTTCTCCTAATTAAAATCCACCTTGAGCCAGTTAAGTATTTGTAGGCAGACTTCACCTTTCTCGAGCTCTATTATATACTGCTTCTATAGCTTAAAAAATAAAGGCACAAGGCTTAGTTTTATCTGCCTTCTACTAAGGGCTTACTCYATTAACTGGTTCTGATTTTGAGGTTGACTTTCTCTTTTGGAATGGCTGCATACAAATTAGTGTGAGTTTTGAAGACTAAGGATACTAAATGGGTGTATCTTTGCTATACAACAAATATGAACTCTAATATTCAGTGCTGGCTTCTGATGTGTCAGTAAGTACAGAAATATCTCAGACACAATGACCTTTGCAACCTTTCAAGCTGTGTAATATTCCAATGGTTTTGTATATACTTAAATCATGTAGAATGATGTAAAACCAGTATGACCTTGTCTAGTCTTCAAACTTAACAATAAAACTTTTGAAAAATGAACTTGTTTTTGAAGAATTTATAATGCAGTACGTTGAAGAAGATACACCTTGTCTCAGTCTGACTAGCGATGTGATGTGGCATTTTCTTGGATTCACTCACTAGGATTTTGTGGAAGGTAAGTTTGTTTCTGGTAAAATCAACTGTGATTTATGGTCCCTTCAATATGCTCCTTTTATTGTTTCAGATAAAAAAAAAAAAAAGGAAGAAAAGAAAAAAAGTTGAATGACTAAAATATTTTTGGTCTTACTTCTCTTTGAATGAGAACCAGAAATATAAACTGGCAATCTAATTGCTTTTAAATAAAATTTCTGATTTGTATCAATCCCTATCCTCTGTTCTGCCCTCCTGCATAGGGAAAATAATTTCAGGAAAGATAAATACTGTTCATAGTGCAGATCCACTAGGAGACTTGAAGCAAAGATGCCAAGCAGGATCTGCGCTTTCTCACAGCCTCATAGCAGGTGGCTGCCTTTGAACTTAAAGTTGGAGCTAGTGCTTCTTATACATTTAGATAACTTCTATACAACCTGATTTCCTGAGCTTCTTGCAAACCTGCCCTTATTACCTACCTCTAAAAGGAGTTCTGTGATAGCCCTTAGGAAGGGATCAAGAAATGTTTGAATGGAGATGCTATTGAAACACAGGAAAGTTTTCTTAGTTTAACTATATGATTTTAATTTCAGACGAAGTCAAGGTAAAATTAGGGAAAAGCTATTCACTGTAAACTCTGAATGCTAAGATGTTTCATTTTAATGCTGACATTTTGTGTATTTATTTGAGGTAGAGCTTTAGTGATTTACTCCTCACTGTTACAGCATAACTTGGTAGGTATAGATACTTTGTTTCTGCTGCATTTCAAAATATGAACTTTCACCAAAAGTCATCTTTTAGAGTAAAAAAAACATTCAAGAGGGTGCACTGTTGACATTTACCTCATCTGCCAAGTGTGTAGTCTGAATACTAACAGCGTATTATCTTTCAACAGAAAAGTAACAATATTTACTTTGTGATCATTTCAGATTATGTGTTATTATGAGCCTTAAAAATAAGAGGAATATAATTATGCACATAAAAGGAAGCTATCTTTTGATGAAGGATGGCTGAATATTAGCATTTCAATCATACATTTCTGATAATACATAATATCTTGACTTTTTCTGGCTTTTAGTTATAAATTGCAACTGTTTTATGAAACAGAGACATCTCAAAAATGAGATGTGATTTTCCTCTCATTCTTCATTGTGTAGTTCCCCAGGAACTTAAATGAAGCTAGTGATAGAAAATAATGAGTAATTATCTTAAGAATAGCAACTATTTATCAATGTCCATCCTCCCATACCTATTGTTAATGAGCTTGAGATTAACATGCATATCAGCACTCTAAATCACTATGAAATAGTCTCTAATCCTTGTATGTTAAATGCAAAAGGATACTTATTTTATACTTTAGATCCAAATAAAAGGTTCTGGTTGGTTAGTCTTATAAATCATGGCAAAATTGAAGATAATTGTACAGTTGCAGTATTTTATTTTTAAAATCTTTATTGAGAATATACAGTAGGATTCATAAAATTGTGTTTATTAAAGATAACACCTATTTTTTGCATCACTTTTTGTTTTACAGTTTTACAACTACATTGATTGCAAAATATCTTTTGATGGTATATAACATTATCAGCATTTGGGGTATGGAAAAGTATCAGCTGTAAATAGACATTTAAATGCATCCAAACATAGAAAATGAAAACATTTCTTGGCTTCACAGCTAAGCTTTCTAAGACAGTAGAAAAATACATGTCGGTGTTGTGGTGTATGTTATTAAAAATACCAAATATGTCAATGTAGATACAGTGTGTATCAATAGAGAAATATAGTCATATACGAAGAGTATATGAGCAGCCTGGGTAACCTACTGAAATACAGACTGAGCATAGACAATGAAGACAATTGTCACAGCACAGTCTATTCATCATGATAGTGTTTCTGATGCTGCTTTCTTGATATTTTAAAAGCTAATCCATGGTAGTTATCTAAGCCAGCACATCAGACAGTAGGTCAGTGCACACATTTCTGAAGGCCACAAGACCAGATGAAGTAAATCRGTCCTCAAAAGGTGGTATAAAAGGTCACTAAACATTTGCATCAGACTGGAAAATGAAAAGTCTACTGAAATGAACAATGTCCTGAAATATATTGATGTTCTGGAACTTGGCAGGAGGTCAGTAGGGGCTGTAGAGAAACTTATTATTTTCCCTTGACGACGATAAATACAGTTAAGTACTCAGACTGGCATAAAATGTCTAGGCTCTCCATTGAGACCATGTAATGTAGATCTCTTAAAAATCTCTTAAAAAAAGATGTTCAGCATATTCTTACAAAAGCACCAAATTATATGCTTATAATACTACAAATAATGCTTTAAAAATGTAACATAATTCTCATTAGGGTTCTATAATTAGGCCCTGAATTTTATTGGAAATATCTTCTCTAAATCTGCTTTCCTCACTTTTTACATCTGTCTTATTTTTTCCGTGAGTGCTGTTGCCTTTACACATTTTAACTTGAGAAAGTTCCTTATCTACATGTRACTCATGCTAATATACCACATTTATAGCTTCATTTGAGGAGGCATTGATACTTTTGAGTAAGTAATTGAGCCTTGCATTGCTTATTTTGAAAATGGTATATAGAGGTGCATTTTCTGCAGGATGCTGTTATGCAGTTTGCCTTGACTAGGTATGAGAAAAGAGCAAACAGGAAGTAGAGGGGTAATTCTAGTTTCCATGCCAAAGCAATCCTTGAAGCCCTCTTAAATATTTATAGAATTATCCAGTGCACTTCAACAGGCTCATTACTGAGCATAAGACTTCATTTCCCTTCTATTCAACCTTTCAGTGTGGATAAGAACAATGATGTTTGAGTGTATTGCGCTTTCACTCACCATTTTCTTCAGTTGCTTTCAAAACAGACTGGAGTTCTATGATTTAACATATAGAAAACATGCTTCATTCTGATGTCCTGTTTCTGTTCTCAGAATTAGTGGGTATTGTATAGCTATGAAAGTAATCTGCTTTTCTATACAAAGCCAATTATTTTTCAACTTTTTATATTTTTWTCTTGTAAATGAGAAACAGGTATTGACTATAGTGAGACTTCTGCATCCAGTTTTATATAATTTTATCTGAGCCATAAACATCCTGAAACTGAAGTGTGGTGTGCTGGTTTTTGCATTAGTCTTAATTTAGCATGGAGTAGCCATCAYCTCAAGGATATGCCAGCAAAAAGCTACCCAAACTCATCTAAGCTAGCATATACTTAAGATACATATATGCCCAAAGAGTATCTTTTCTCTTCTGAAGTATTTTGAGTGTCCTGTCTCTGCACCACTGATACATAAACTAGACAAGCAATTTTAGGTCTGTGTTCTCGGGTGCTGTAAGTTGAGGTAGAAACATGCTCTAATCTAGGAACTGAATACTCAAGTTGTGTTTCAGAAATCCTCCCATTGAGATCATTCCTGTGTGATTTACAAAACCTTCTGAGTGCAGAAGAGAGTAAAAACTGTATCAAGGAGAGAGGAAAATCATACMCTGATGAGACTAAACTATAATGAAGAAAAAATATGAGAGCAGATAAAGACCATTGGGATTTCAGGTTAGGGGAGCTATGCGAGGCAGATGAACAAGGTTATGCACACGTAACAGAGTTATGAACACTAGGCAAAGAGCAGTGATGTTCATCAACCATATTAAGTTTGTTGTGTGYTGTCCTCAGTGTTTCTTAAAAATTCATTGTTTTTGTAGGCTGACACTTCTCTTCCTTTCTTAAGAGGATGAACAACCTTCATCTCAAAAAGTGCAGTCACTGAATTTTTTCAAAAGCTGCATGGCAAAACCACAAGAAGCAGATCAACAACATGAATGGTCTTCTAGTTTACTTTTGAAGAGCAGGAATTTGTTGTAGCATAGTGTCCACCCCTACGATCTTGGCAAAGTCCACTCCTGCAGCAAGCTTGTGGGTTGAGCACTTACGTCAGTGAGTGACCACACATCAAATAGTGCCACTTTAGACATTGGCACGATGCAGCTCAGCAACTGCTTAGCAGAGCAAGGAATGCCCTGCTTTGTTTTTCCCTCAGTCAGTAGCTGCAGTGGCACAAAACTGAAATAACACCTTCATCACCCCTCTCATGCTATTCTTCTGTCAGAGATGACAGCTCTTGTAACAGGATTCAGTAGGAACACCTGCACCTTTTTACTCACCTGCTGCAGTTCACAGGTAAATGTCTTGCTTGGCATGAAGATGTCTTTCATGTCATGTAAGCTAGTGTGACTGTGACAGAGCCACTGAGGAATGGGRATGCTGCCAATGGGAGATCTGTCCCATTCTCCCGTTGCAAGGAGAGTGTCTCTGTGAGCATCTGAAGGGGGCTAATCTCTTCCTGGAAAGCTATAGCTGAACAAGAATACCACTAACATCTGAGATTTTTTTCTGTTGGTTGTTTTTTTCTGTCGGGTCGTTTTTTTCTGGAATATACAAGCTATGGACTGGATTTATACCCCGTTTCTAGCTAAGTTGGTTTACAACAGCTAGGGAACTAGATCCATATATACTTAATATTATTTTATATTTTTTTGCTAATTTTTTCTTAACATCTTAGAACAAGCATTTCAAGGATATATGGTGCTTCGTGTTCTACATTCTATATGATAAATATGTCAAAAGTTCTTTAGTCATTATATAACTTTGGGGAAAAAKTCAGGAGCTTTAAATATATAAGCAAATATGAGATTAAACTGATATGAAAATATACTGATAAGATAGTTTCACCTTTATTTATACCAAGAATCTTATTTACTATGACTTATAGAAAACGTTAAATATTGCAGTGATAAATTAGATTT